AGATTGAAAAAAAAGAAGAAAAAACGAGCGGCGCTCGCTCGTTCGCGGAAGTGGGAGCTAATTTCGTGAAGGTAATCACCTGTCGGCAGATACCTGGACGTAAATCTCGCTGTCGTCGAACGAAACTTGACGCGATACAGTTTAGTCGGACCAACGGTACCATCGGAACGTCCGTCCTTCTTTTTTTCCCGCGTCACTTTTTCACGCAAGATTCGATTTGACTGTCATTCTCGCCACCACGCCGGGTGAAGAAATTTCGACGGTGTACGGTATCGCGTAGGAATGCGTAGAAAAAAGATCCAATTCGACGGCGCGATGTCGCAATGTTATTTCAGCTAGCTTCAGCCTGAGAAAAGCGTAACGATTTTTACATTCGATTAATTTTTCAATTGAAGTTTATTATTTCACCGTGTCGCACGATCGTCCTTCATCGAGGTTAAGTCTTTACGATTTTTGAAGAACGACCGCACACGCGTACGCAGTTTTATCGAACGGAGAGGAAGATACAGACGCGACGCCTGTAACAGTTACCACGCGCCGGAGCGTCCGGAGTGGATGTTAAACGCCGAATTTGGAAGAGCGGAAAAGCAGTCTCCGCTTTGTTACTCGCTCGATGTACACAAAGACCCCGTAGGGGTGGTTGCGAGAGGGACGGGACGCGTCGGAATCAAACGGCAACCTGCGCATTGTGTCCGGAGGGGGCGAAAGAGAATTGGAAAACGAGAGGCGCACGACACGTGAGCAAACGCAGCTACCGCGACGCACGAAGACCTTCTCGAGCACCCACTTCGCGTCAAAGGGTCTGCCTTCCCCTTTCGCTCCGTCTCACTCGAACGAACGTAGTAATCAACCCGCCCGCCGCCCCAGCCGCCGTCCCCACCCCTCTCTCTCTCTCTCTCTCTCGGCGCTTGTAAACAGAATCACCCTCTGAAAGGAGAATCAATTTCCCCGCGGGCGAAGAGAGGAGAGAAGAGAACCGCGTTCGGAAGGTTCGTATCTGCTGGCGATTGGACTTGACGTTCTTCGTCCATTGTCAATAATCTAAGTGACGCTTTGGACGACGAATTGCCGAAACCCCGGCGAAGAACGGCGCGGAAAAATGGCCGTCGATCAAATTCAGCGAGATTCGCCGCCGACTGATAACATCTACTAATTTCCGGATCTTCCGCTAACGCTGAATCACGCTATCGGTTCTGGGAAATTAATGGCGCACGTCGAGCGGGACAAGGTGGCCGCCGAGGCGACGGTCGCGATAAATCAGAAGACGTTCAGCGCCGACCGCCGACCGCAGCGTCGGAATCCCATCGAACTTTACGGGCGGTGCATTGTAAAACGGCGCGAGATTACCGGGAGCGTTACCGGGCGTAATTCCCTCATAAACGTCGAAATGAAATAGTTACACTCGCCCGAGCACGTAAATTCAAGTTCAGCGCCCGAGTAAATACACCCAATTCCGAGCGCGCGCTCCATTCACGGTAACTATGACGATCGTTCGCCATAATTTATGACCCGGGGTTCGCGGGGGCCGCGTTGAAAGATAAAACACCGTATTTTTCATTTCCCTCGGGTGCGTACGCGCCCGATGAAACTGGAGCGCGCGGAGCAGCGGCGATGAGCGTTTCAACGCATCTCATATCTCAAAATTCGACGTCAGAAATAAAAGTGCGATAAAAGAACTCGCGAGAGAATACATCGCGAATCGCTTTGTCATATCTTCCGTCTCTCTCTCTCTCTCTCTCTCTCTCTCTCTCTCTCTCTCTCTCTCTTTCTTTCTCTCTCGCCACGTGTCTTTGATGCAGTGAGGATTTATTCCCCATTTTTTTATTTGATCTCAGATTTCGAATGCGACGGTGTAATATCATTCATCTTCGCGAGCACACATGTGTCTCCTCGCTGCACCCACGCGTGTGTACCCGGTGCGCGTCGTCCATTGTGATCCTTCCTGCCGATATTGATCGAAATCAATGACCCGACGGAGCAGCTGCGAGCTAAATAGGAATGTCCGTTCGGAGTGACTGGATTATGTTGTCCCCCCGCGAGAATCCAATCGCGAATAATTGATATTTATTTCTGCGCGCAAATATTTTCCGACACGACGATAAATCCTTCTCCGCTGTGACCTCCGCAATCTCGTTGTTGCGCGAAACCTAGGAATATTTCGCGAAATAGTTTTTATCATTGTCTGATAAGCCGTGGCTCAACATGATAGAAGTTTCATAAAACAAAAAAACATCGGAAATGGTTACTCCACCGACCTGGCTTTCGCTTCCTGTCATCCACCCTCTCACATGTGACACGAGTCACCCCTAAATCCACAACGTGGCTTGAGATTAAAGTCGTTTTTCATATCGCGGCCGCGGTGTTTTGACCGATGACACAGGAGAAATGAAATATCTGGACTAATGGAAATATTTAGACGAAACGGAAGCTTCATCCTTTTTTTCTGAAACATGAAGCTAATGAAAATGCTAAATATTTTCTTGCAGAATTGATAACAGGTTGCTTGAAAAAGAGCAGAATTAATTATTATTAGCCATTAATTATATTACTTTTTTATTCAATTACACATTTGTGACATCAATACAGATGTTTCAATTTAGTCTACTTAGTTTCAGCAGTTTTCTGCTTCTGCAGATAACAAATCTTATTTTAACAAAAATAAAAAAAAATGGCATAATATTGCAGTAACATTATTAATTCAACTTTTTTTAATATCAACGATAAGTCCCTTTCTTGATCAATTTTCTCTGAAATTAAATATTCGGCTGTTAACGAAGTGCTCTTCTCCCTTCGTGCAATCGGCATTAATATTTATTGGCCCATTTACGAAAAATGTCGAACGGACGCCGGGCGTATTACGGAGGCGGGGAAAATTCGATAGACTTCAACTCCATTATCACTGTCTTCCCCACGAAAAAAAATTTATACGCTGAAAGGAAGATTTGAGAGGAATAATTTGCAAGCGTGCATTGTGGGACGGCGCGGAGCGCCGTCGTAGCTCCCTGGATGCTTTAAAAGCATCATCGTCCCGTGCTCTCCGACCAGCCCTAGCAACGCTATTGATTTCCTACATCCCCTACGAGAACTATCTCGCAGAATTTACCCTCTTTCGTGGAAATGCGCCCTGCGAGATCATGAAACTCCGATGCCACGTACAACAAAGCATCGGTCGCGCAATCCAGGCGCATAATTCCGACGTGTTACTCGAGAAGTGAATAAGAAAATCCCCCAGCGACGATTGGAAAAGAAATAAATCTGTTTGAACGGAACCTTCTCGCTTTTACGTTTCTGTTGTTTTACGTTGTGTCCCAGAGTTTGTTACACCGATAATACCTCCGACGTAACGAATAATCCCCAGGATGACCTAACAAACCCCTTATCTGCATTTTCCATGACGTGAAATACAAGTTCTGTGTGGAGAACAATGCCCGCAAGGCGGAACGATTCGGAGTGACGTTTCCGTCGTGCACTTACCAGCGCGATATATTCGAGGAATTTGCACGGCCTCGAGCGCTCGAGTGTCGGATAAATTTGACGCGGTTTCACAAAAGTGCGCTTCAATGTATTGAAATTTATTTTTATCTCCGTAATTGACAGCGATATATGGATCCGACATCGCGGAAGTAGCGTTATGCCAGGGCACGTTTGCACGAATGAAAAATTGTAAAGCGAGCCACGAAATCGATGATAATGCTGGCGACGCGAGCGCGAGACGTTTATTCTTACACGGAATCTGAAATGCGTGTTCGCGGATAGCACGTATTCGCGGGACACGTGACCGTTTTTCGCGTTATTTCTGCATAGCAGCGTGTACTGCGTCGTGATTTCGACGACCGAACGGTCCAGGAAGAAGAAGACTCTTCCGTCATATGCTACGTGCACATCCTGCGAGCCTGACGCAATCGCAAAATACCAATATCGATATCTTTATAATTTGATTTGAATAGTTTAAGATACTAGACACACCAGCGTGCACTACGCGCTCGGCAATCATTCTTTTAATTACAAAAAGAAATATATATTATAACTATATCTTTAATAAAAATAATATTACAATATTGCCATTACTTATACTATTATTATTGTCGCAATTTACAGCACTATATATAACGTTATTTAATACAAATCTTATTATTCATGTAAAAATTAGATGTTAAACTTGTGATTAGGTGGATTGCTCGAGCGAGCATTTATATTAAACAAATAGAGTTGCATCTTTGACGAAGTCCAGAAAGGATTTAAACAAAGAATTCGGAAAAATAATTATTGCAAGCATTGAAGATTTTATTCTTATCTTTAAAACAAATCTTTAATAAAACACTTATATAATTAACAATACAATTTTTTAACTTGTAAAAATATTTGAAATAATTATAAGAATTAGATTTAGATTGGGACTAATTAATAATTATAAATGCTATAAATATTGTAATTATTTTCTTAAATACGCTAAGTACCTCAAATATTTTATAAGTATAGTATTACACAATAATGTCACATGACTGATGTAAGAACAAACAATTCCTAGAATATTCCACTTTTAAATAATAAAATGATACATTCTTTTATGATGAATTTATTTGTATTATGATGAATGCATCATGTATCACATAAATATTTCTCGAACAAATACAATTTTAAAATTTACGTTGTTATATTTCACCGACAATTAATGTATTACATTCGGAGACTTTTACAGAAGTTATAATAATGAGAATTTACTCTATATAAAGTACAAAAAATAAACATAAATAAACATAAACGTAAAAATATATAAAAAATTATATCAAATTAAATATGTAAAATTGAATTGTTGTATTAATTGTCGGTACTTCTGTCTTTACAGAGAAGTCGATGATTATTTCATTAAATTGTTTCGGTTGAAAAATTTATGAACATTGTTAATAATAAAATAATAATGTTTTGTTACATAATAAAATTTATGATTATAGTTAATAAATGAAAAAAATGTAATTGTTTGCTATGCAACATAATTTTGTAATCATATTCATAACTTTATAATTATAAAACAAATAATTATACGTTAAAACTGTACATATACCACACTTTTCTTGTGTCTTTTTGTTGTATCTATTTTTTGGTAAATTAAAACCAAAATCAAGACTGTCATTGTTGCTGGTTGTGATGTTACTGCTGAAAGCCGTTATCATCGTTCCCATTGTCAACTTCTGGATAAATTTATATAAACATTTATAATATTTACATGAAAAATTGTCTAGTTTTTACTGTGATCATTATATTGTATATATTTAATAAATTAAAATATAATTAAATATATTGTATAAATTGAATTTAAAAAAAAAATTAATTATACACAATAATATTAATAAAACTTACGGCTATTTTTTTATTCAGCTTAGTTGGCTTGTCAAATGATATTCATCTTTATTATGGTTATTTAAATGAGTTCTAATAGCAACAGATGTTCTTGTAACAAATATTACACTCTAAAATCATTACTTTTGATACGTATTCTCATATAGTCAGCTCTGAGAGATGTATGTTTTTTTAATTGCTCCTTAGAATGCGAGCGTCAGTGATCTTCTAAACTTTTAGATACAAATAAAACGTTCTCATCGCAAATAATGCATTTCACGCCAATGATTTGAGATATTCAAAATATATTCTTGATGATCCGCATAAACATCGGTATTTTTCTTCTTCGAGATTACAAATCTTTTGGTGACATAAACATTGTGCCCGTTTCAAGTGGTGAAACGCGTTCTGACGAACCAACTGCCTCGTGTGTTTCTTGCGTATTTTTCAATTGTTTCAAATGTGTGCTTCTTATATGAGAATCCAGATTAAAATTAAAACTAAGACTTACATTATTATGACAAAGATTACATTCCACAATAAAATCACTTCTTTTTGTGAAATATTTCCATGACCAATTTCGATATTGTATATATTTCTTCTGTTGTTGTTCAGAATGCACACTCAAGTGATTTTCTACAGATTTAGATGTAGACAGAACATTTGCATCACAGATAACACACTGTGAATATAATTCGTTTGAATACTTGAAATACATCCATGGTCTTGATTTTCTCTCTTTTTCATATTTCCAAATTGTTCTATGATGTCTCACAACATGTACGCGGAAGTGTGAATTATATACATAGGAGTATTTATTTGTGCAAAACCTGCACTGTGCTTTAAAATCCGACAATTTGATATAATATTTCCATACATGTTCTTTACTTGTAATATTTAATGTAGGCATTGTGTCCGTTTCAAATAATGAAACACATTTCGATGAATCAACTGTGTCATGTGTTTCTTGCGTATTTTTTATTTTGTTCGAATGCATCATTTTTGTATGAGAATTTAGATATTTATAAATACAAATAGGTACGTTCTTGTGACAAATATTACACTCCACCATAAAATCACTTCTTTGTGTCCAATATTTCCGTGGCCAGTTTCGAAGTATATGATTCTCCCGTTGTTCTTCAGAATGTGAATTCAAGTGATTTTCTATAGATTCAGATGTAGACAGAATATTTGCATCACAGATAACACATTGTGAATATAATTCGATTGAATACTTGAAATACATCCATGGCCATTTTATTAGCTTTCTCTCTTCTTCGTATTTCCAAATTTTTTTATGGCATCTTGCTATATGTAGTTTGAAGTTATTATATCTTCCATAATTATATTTATTTTCGCAAAACTTGCACTGTGCTTCAAAATTTGGCAGTTGTACATAATATTTCCACAAATGCTTTTTAGTCGCAATATCTAATGACATTGTGTCCGTTTCAAGTGACTGGACGCGTATAACTGAATACGATACAAGAACCTTTCTGTCGAAAAGTATAAGAGAGGACGCAAGAAGCATAATCTGACTTTGAATGTAAATATTGGTACGACGGCGAAATCTAGCTAGCAATTATCAAAATACGCGGTAACATCTCATACCGAGTATGTGTAGTAATAACATCTCAGCTTCTCAGCGAAAGAGACGTTACAACGTTTCCTTTAAATATACAATTTTGTACAAAATAATGCACAAATAATATATTATTTATGTGTATCAAATAAAACTACTTTCAAATTATAACTATATCAAAGAAATTTATATGAATGTATCAAGAAAAACGCGTATTTCTGCGAATTATTTATATACTGCCTCAAATGCAATTCATATTGATTGCAGAAATAAACAGATATGATTGACTCTGTGTTTGAAAAATGTAGCTTTCTTTACAAAACTCACTACATTCACAGCCATCACGGTAAACGGACGAAATGCAGAGTATGCAGAAAATGCAGATTTCGATGAATTTTACGCAGATGAATTATCTGATTGCATTGAAAAATTATTAAACATGCATAGCTTATATTATATAAATAAATATTATAACGTCGGAAACAACGCTAAGTTTCACGCGAAAAGCACCGGTCTTCAAGGTGTTAAGCAAGAAGAATCTACGTCGCGCGCGCGCGCGCGTTTGTGTGTGGTTTCTCTTTTAAATATATAATAATTTAACTACTAACCTTCTCAAGATATGAACTGTCCAAATATGCAATTTTCGCAATGACAACCGCTCGACAGCACGAAATAACGCGCATCGAGACAACTAATTAATATCGCGGAAAAAAAGGCAACAATGAAAATCTTTCATGCCTTTTTCAAGAGTGTAAAAGTCGAAACAAATGAGAGCTTTTTCTTTGGTTTTTTACAAATATCATATCATAATTCAAATATCATATCATAATTTAATCAAATATCCACTACAATCCGATAAATAAACGGCATAATTATATATAAAGTTAGAACGGTTAAAAAAAATTCCAAGATGTTCATACAAGAAATACAAGATGTTATGTATTATTCAATACTCAACTTTCCTCGTAGAAATAGAGGCTTGCGTCATTCTCTCAAGCTGATCTTTTCTTTATTTATTACATTACGCGTTTGAAACGGAGCAAACCGCAAAACGGTACCGGAATTACCTCGGGATGTCGAGCGCACAAGTTACTCGGGTGAAGGGCGTGAAAAATTTTGCGGTACATTCGGTACGTAAAATCGCATGTTTACAGTTTATCGGGGGATACTATTCGCAAGTCGACACCCCCGTCTCGCACGTGTGCTCGCCGGCGTTCACGCTTCCGCCTGCTCACGCGCGCTCCCGTAAGAATATTTCGCCGGGTTTACACGCGACGGCGGCGACTTTACCGGAAAACCGCGCCCGATCCGCTTCGTTTTTCCCCCCAGCTCGCGCCCGCCGGCTCACTTTTTCTCGCTCCAGTATCCAGCCGGCCGGGAGGTCCGCATAATATCTCCATTTGCCGGAGCGACGATGTGCGGTGCTGGTCGCGCGTTTATTTACGAGACGGGCGTCGCAGTTAAATCGCAGATAGCAACGCAGATTTGCCGCGTCGACAACAACGGTGCTTCTCGCCGCGCCAGGAAGAACTTGCAAACCGGGCTAGGACGAGGAGCAGGAAGAGAGCGCGCGCTACGTGGCTACGAGTGGTCGAAGACTCGCGCTGATTCCGCGGTTGTAACATCTGACCTATCCGTCCGTGAGAGGAGAGTCCTGTAATCCCGGAGGGTGTCCCGCCGGAAACGGGACTGCATCGACATCTCGCCGGTGTCGATACGTAACGCTCGGCAAGCGGAATCGTCAAGTTCGCCGCGCGGCAAATGTCGCAAGGCCGTTCGTCGACTTGACCGCTCCGAGCAATATCGGGAGATGTGTCTCGGTAAGCGACCGGTTTCCTCGCGGAATACAGAATCGCTAAAACGAGGCGTACAGCGCGATAAGAGTGAGAATTGTTTATTCCTCTTGATACTTTCTTTAAAATCAATTTTACACACATCAATATCCATTCCGATATATAGCAAAAGTTGTTTTCTATTTTGTTAAAGATTGTTATCGGGAAAAATTCAAACAGCATTAAAAGTTTTTTATTGAGACGTTAAAATATATATATATATCTAAGTATTCTCTCTTATCATCTTTTTTATTTTGAAATTGGGTAAATTTATTGTAATTTATACGAAGCAACTGATAACTATTTAAATCGTAGATAGCTATTTAAATTGTACGAACGACATGGAAAGCTTTCAAGATACATATATTTATTTAAAGAATTCAATATCCCTTTCATCATTTTGTATACTGCTATGTTAGCCTGAATTTACGACCTGATGCCAAGCGCGACTATGCGTCGGAAGATAACATGCCCTTGTCATCACGACGGAAAAGGCAATGTTCTTTTTAGTATAATTAGATAATTTCTACGTAAGTTGATGCTTCGCTCTATCGTAATTCTAACGGTTGTATCACATTATAGAGCCCGCCGTGGATGCTGACGTTAAAGTTCGGCCGTTTATATTCTTAACGAGCTCGAGATTTCAGTTAATGGTAAATTTATGTTAAGCACGCGATAACCGCGGCACTTCTATTCGAATGTTTCTAAATTAGGTTGATAAGTATTTTGTTTACAAACAAGTCGGTGTTAAAATTTGAAAAAATGCTTCAACGATTATCATTATAGAGAAACGAGCTATCGAGGAGACACATCGACGATGCTTCCGCAACGCCCTCGCGGATCGCTCGATCGCGATTCTCCCGCGAAGCTCCGATCGTCGAGTGACGCAATGCGAGATGCCGACATGCTCATCTAACATGTCGTGAGCGTATCGGGAAGACCGGGGGAAGAAACGATCTCGCTGTGCACGGCGGTGGACGATGGAGAAAGTGTAACCGATCCCGAGAGCTCAAAATCGAAAGTAATTTCCTCAGTCTTGCTCTTTCTCCGCCTCCTTTCTCCTTTCTACGGAAGCCCACGATCATTCTTTCTCCCTGACCGAGGATCCAGGTCAAGTTCACTGTCTGTGCTCGACAGTGTCTTTCTCTCTTTCTCATTTCACTTTCTCTTCACTCTCCTCACCCTGCTCTGCCGTCTGTTTTACCCCTCTCTTTTTCTCCTTTTCTCACGCTCTCTCTCTCTCTCTCCTCTCTTCCTTCTCTCTCTCTCTACTCTCTCTACGTACTCTCTCTCTCGTCGTCGTCGTACTCTACTACTCTCTCTCTCTACTACTCTCTCGTCTCTCTCTACGTCTCTACTACGTACGTACGTTCTCTACTCTCTACTCTCTCTCTCTCTCTCTCTCTCTCTCTCTCTCTCTTCTTCTTCTCTCCTCTCTCTCTCTCTCTCTCTCTCTCTCTCTCTCTCTCTCTCTCTCTCTTTCTTTTCCGCGGTGCGCCATTCAATCTCCGCTCTCTCCGGCACTTATGCAAGCGGTATTACACCATCGGCAATTTCATTCGTGCATCGTGACTCCTGCCTTCCGTCGAACGCGATTCTGGAGAGTTATTATGTCAGTGTCAATGGCACCGATCCCTCCCGTGAGAGAAAGACCCTGACAGTTAGCGAGTACCAGTTACGTCGTGCGCACGGTTCGCTGAACTGAATTCCCCTCCCTCAACCTCCGATGAGCCAAGGTGAACCAAGGTGAGGCGAGGTGGATACATCGTCTCGGATATCTCTCGTGAGTGCCTCGCGCAGGGCCTGCCGGCTTGGTGCTTTACGGCTGCTCTCTTCCACTCGATGAACTTCTCTTCATCATAAATATGGACGATGCGCGGTACGAGCGTATGCGCGGCGGCCGGCAGGCAGGCAGGAAAGGGTACGGTGACGACCAACTTCCTGGACGCCTCGCCAAAGGTTTATTGGCAGCGGCTGATAATTAATGACTTGTAATTAACGAGACATTAGGCGAGTTTGCGCGCGTTTTTGATAGAGATCATGACGCAATGTTGCAAGGACGCGGAATTGAAAACAGGCCAACGTCACTGCGGCAAATTTTAAAATAGCCTTTGAAAATTTTAGAAAGCATAAATAACTTAACGGCGCTATTAATATAATTTACGGCGCAGTGCCGTAATTTTAATTTGTATAACAAATTACGGACCATCGATGCGCAATTATCATAAATAACAGCGCCGTAAATGCTCATCCTTTATAATAAATTCGAATGAGATCATTCAGTCCACTCTTAATTGCTTTTTTAGAATTTCTCAATCTGCGCTCGATTAATGATCGCGTAATAAAATATCGGAGGAATGATCTGGAAGGAGTAGCACTAATTTGTAGCGATGCACCTGAGAGCGGTACGTAAGGATAAAAAAAAGTTGTCCGGCTTTATAACGCAATAAAGATAATGAATATTCGCTACGAGATTTTCTCGGAAGGATTGGGGGACTGACTTTTAGTTCGCTGCGTGCTTGCCAGCCGCGTGTGCTCATCGATAGGAAGAATCGACAGTGAGTCAGCGAATTTCCAGCGATACTGACCAATGCTTACGTCGAATTCCTGGACAGACTTTAACTTCATTCCAATGTGCTTTGCGGCAACGGCGGAATCCGAATCGCAGGAGGAAAAGTCGCAATTAATTCGAAGTAAGTGCGTGCGAGATATTTTTCGTACGACAAATTCATATACTTTTATCATCTCCTGAGAAAAAGACCTGCGTAACGCACGAAAATCGATTGTTATTTCGCATTTCGATCCCCTCTTCGATCGATATCGGTGCGCCAGCTTTTCCGAAAGCTCGCAAGACGAGAGCATCCCGAACGAGACGCCGAGACGCTCGCATCGACGCGCGTAGCGCGAATGCGCGACAGGCAGGCACAGTCCGCTTTGCTTCTGCGCTTATGCGCACTCACGCTTGCGCATCACTGGTCCAGCGGCGCGGCGACCGACCGGTGTTCTCCTCATCGTCCTGTTTCTCTCTGCCGGCTATCACGACTGACGGTCCGCACTCTGCTCGCCGATGACACCCGACGCGTCCAACGCAATCTGCATACATCCATCCGCGAGTCGGACAGCCGAGGACGCTGCCGAGGAGCGGGAAAACGCGGGGGCAAGAAAAAAAAGTATCTCTCCGTCTCGCGCCGAAACCCAGAATGTTGCACGCGCTAGAGTCCTGCGGACGTGCCGTTGGTGCCGAACGCTGAGAAAAGGAGAGAGAGGGGGGGGAGGGACGAAAAAGGGAAAGATGTGAAGTGCGCGGAAGAGGGGCGGAGGAGAGATGGAGCGAGGAAGAGGCGACGTGAAAGAGAACGAGAAAGAGGAAACGAAATAGAGTAGAAGAGGAAGCGCACGCGAGAGGGAGCGAGAATGGGAGAAAAAGAGAGGATGCTCCGGTGTGTAGCCTGCGGGTACACATCGCCTCGCGCTGCTCCCCCGCCAATCCGCTCGCGCGGCGTGGGGCGAGTTTGAGGTAGGGGCCGCACGACGCGCACGGTGGTGGCGGTGGTGCGCTGCGCTACGCTGCGGCGGCGGCGGTATCGGCGGCGGCGGCGGCGGCAGGCGGCGGCGGCGGCGGTGGCGGTGGCGGCGCGGCTGCCAAGGTATTTAAGGTACCGTGAACCGGCGGCGCACGAGTAGTTCACTTCTGTTCGGTGTGGTGTTGCGGTGATTTTAAGGGGCCAGCTAAAGAGAGCAAGAGAGAGAGAGAGAGGAGGGAAGAGAGAAGAGAGAGAGAAGGAGAGAGTAAGCTCTGCGCTCGCACACGCCGGAGGGGGCGAGAGAAGAGCTCGTG